ATTTCGGAGGCGATCGTGATTGATGGGCAGTGTGGCAACAATTTAATGAATTCAGTTATTTATATTTGAAAATTTCGTATTTGAACACTATTAATGTACTTTGTTATTTCAGTATTTCAAAAATTCGAGATTTAAAGTTTAATCAAATTTCTTAAATTAATCAAATGAGTTTTGTCGTTGTCGTGGTTTTACCGTTATAAATGCGACGTTTCAAAATTTAGTTATTTTTTGCAAAACCTTTTAGTTTAATCAGTTACAAAAAAACGATAACGTGGCAATTCGGTTTACGAAACTTGGGGCTTTACAGCTCAATTGGTAGGCATTGGGCATTCTCTCCAATGATTACCAGTGCCACCGAGATGAGCATCCAGTCGTAAATTTCAGAGTTTCGTGGAATTAGTCGAGGTGCGCGTAAATTGACCCGAACATCCATGGTTATTGAAAAAAAAATCTTTTAGGTCCGTACTATAACTATATATATATGTGTGTATGGAGTTAAATGAGTGAATGGGCATTCAAATTTTTTACTATGTCACGACTTACTCATCAAATTTCATCAAGCGACCCATTAGGCAACTTTGCTCTGCCCTATCATCCATAAATCTGTCTACGTGGATGACGGAAAAATGATATGGCCTGTTAAATCATTTGTAACCCTAAGCCCCAAATTCTATCAACGTCTTCTTCCAATCCAACAAAATCCTCTTCCTTCAACAGAAAAGCAGATCTTCTAAAAACGTTGTGTTCCTTTCTTGATGCAATTTCAACAGAAAACAATTCTAGACAATCTTCTGCATCTTAAGCAACTTCCCTGGTGTCTCCAACCAAATCACGGATCATCTTCATCTCCATCTCATCTTTGGCGTGAGAGAATTCTTCTTGCAAGATTTCAGATTTTCCCCAAATTGAAGTGATTTTTATTTCACAGAGAGAAACTAGTGTTTAAATCTAATGGGTAAGGCGTTTTTGGCTGATAACCAGCCGGAAAACGGTACTACGGAGAGGATGCGGAGGAGGATGAAGGCCAAGCAGTTCAGGGAGCTTATAAAAATGAATTTGGAACTGAGTTTTCCTGGCGATTTTTTTCCCATTCTAGGATGGATTGGTTACAATAGTTTCGAGAAAAAATTGGTCACGCATAAGGGAAAAAATTACAAATTCATCCACAGCCTCATTGAAGAACACTGGCGACGGCTGTTGGATAGCAAACATTAAAACACAACAGTTGATCATTTGCTTTCTTTGCAAGAATCGGAATCCGTTGTAATTCGTATTCAAGTTTTTAAATCCTTTTGTAAATCTGATAATTTTTTAGCAAACAAATTTCTACCTCTTAAAATTCATCTCGTAAGCTTCAACGGGTGTTTCCAAAGAACTCAATTGAGTGCTTCAAAAATTTCATCTACATTTTCTGCAACGAGTTTGAGAATTGCTGTAAGCTGTGTTTTTCTCCATACCAATCTTCCATTTTTTCTGCTCCTGAAATCTTATCGTAATTCAGCTAAACAACCTCATTGAAGAACACGTGAACGGCAGCTAAGGAAAAAAAAATACAAAATGGTGAAGGATCTGTTTGGAATTGCTGACGAGGCAGTAAGTTGACCTTTAGTTTACCATTCGGATGCATTTAATTGGCCATTGAATTTTTCCGTCATACAGTAATCATATCTATTAACGAATTTCATCTAGTGAGTGATATAGTGGGATGGAGCAAAGTTCAATAACTCGGTGAGTAAGTCATAACCTGGCACAAAGTTCACTCTACGTCTATATATACAAATTGGAGTACATAATCCATTACCTACACCTTCTTTACATGGAGGGGGTCCACACACAATAAAATATTCTTGAGCCCCTCTCCATGTGAGGAGGTGTAATCTATTAGGTAATAAATTGAGTGTACATCTAGCACAACCCACAAAGAAAAATGCAGTGTACGTAATTATTGTACATAAAAGTGTACATAACCCTCACATGATATGGGGTCCACAAAAATGTGGGCTCCACCCCATGTGAAGATTATAGACACCCCCATGTATAATAATTATGTACATCAAGCACGGCTAAGAAGAACCCAAAACTAATTAATTATTTTTAAAAAAGTCAAATCGAATAACTCCATAAAGAGTCGTAAGCATATGATTCCATCTCATCAGTGTCCAGGTAGTAAGGAGGAGGTAGCATCAACCCTTCAGCCATATTGTCAATCAACCCCGGCATTCCAAAAAGAGCCTCGTCATCGGTAGAGAACACATTTTCCTGCGATATAGCGGTGCCTTCCTCCTTCGAATCGGACTCGGAATTCGGTTGTCCAAAGGTCTTGGCTGCTTCTGCTGCAGCTTTCTGAATGTCCTTAGCATCAGTCGAGGCCGGAACCGGTAGCTTCCAAGCTGAATCAGCAAAGTTCAAGCAAGCGGACCGCCCTCGAAGCGCTATTGCCGCCACATCGTGAGCTCTCGCAGCCATTTCAGCGGTGGTGAAAGTTCCCAGCCAAATTCTCGACTTCTTGTTGGGTTCTCTAACTTCACACACCCACTTACCAGATTTCCTCCGCCTCACACCCCGATAAACAGGGTGCCTCGTCTCGTTAAACTTCTTCCTCCCTGCACGCCTTTTTGGGTTGTTTGAAGCTAATAAAACTTCCTCATCAGAAAAATTGGCTCTGCTAATGCCATTGTCAGATAAAGATGAAGATTCCAGTCCCTCAGTCGATGACCACGAATTTTGCACAGAGAAAGCTGGGTAGGAGTAGAAATTTGTTAAAATATCCATTAATCTTGAAAAGCTGTCTTGAGTATAAGTGCTTAAAAGGGATTTGAGTAGTGATAAGTAGAGCTATGAATATGTTCTTTTATATGAATGCATACATGTGTGTGATGGAGACTGGAGAGACAAGTTCATTAATTTTACGCTCAGTACGCGAATTTCTCAGTTTGCACACGGAAAAGTGCCAGCTGGAGAGAGAATGCCCACGGTTTGTACTTCAGTGTGAATTTAGCCTTAATTTGACGAGAGCTGCCATATGGCCCAGACCACATGGTGTGAACTTAGCAATTGTTGATAACTGAACATTCAATTTTCTAAACTCACAAATCAAAGAAGCACGTGCTGTGCCGAGACTTCCAAATCCTCAATGTCAAACATCACTGCAGCTAACTCGAAGTTGTGTATTGAGTAGTTTAGTTCATGATTCTTCAGCTGTCCAAACGAATGGGCTATAACCTTCCAATTTTTCATTAGAACAAAACCAAAATCCTGAAACATCACTACAAACCACAAATTCTTCACTGGATATGGAAGAGTGAGTGCATGAATAAAAGCCAATCTATTTTTCAACTCTCAAACACTCTTCTCGCATTACTCGGTCTACACAAATCTAGGACATGTTTGATGTAAATTTTTGAGAGTATAATTTGTGAAGAATATTTAGTTAAAAAGTGATGAAAAATTTTGTGTCTACATGCAAGTTTTTTATTGGGAGAATATATGGTTGAAAACGAGTTTAAAAAAATATGTACAAAAAGGGGTTTAGAGTTCTTTCTAGTCTAACTAGTCAAATGAAGAGTAATTTTTGGAAAAATCTCTACAAATCAAAGGTAATAACCAATTACTCCCAAGGAAAATTCGTACTTGTGTCACATTAGTTGGGCGTTCTCATTTCACCACTGTTTCTGCCTTTACGAGGTTTACACAAATACGCTCTACGAAGAAACTTTGTCTAGTTAAAACTCATACTTTCTAAACTTAGCATACAACTATTGAATGACCATATCCAGACCTAAAAGCACTTTTCAGTAAATCGACAACTCTGAATTTGACCTAATTATACTTTAAATGTAAGTCAATCTTAGAAAATACTGTGGTATTAAACAAATCATCAATGCATGGTAAATGATACTTGTTTTAAAATGTCAGCTCATTCAACTGCTTTTAGTCAAGACACAGTCTCATTGCCCCCTCTTTTTCTTAATAAATAACAGCGCTCCCATGGAAATACACTCCATCTAATAAATTCCTTTTGAACTAATTCTTGCAACTGCCCTCCTTTAACTTTCCTGGAGTCATTCTTTAAGGCACCATGAAATAGGTGTTGTCTCAGGAATCAAATCAATTTCCTATGTGGTGGTAATCGTGGAAGATCTTCTGGAAATACATTAGTGAAATTTCGATCGATTGGAATATATTCGAGTTTTAGCCCAGTGATTCGTCTATCCGACGAACTAATTATGCATTACAATCCATCCTGAGCTTTCTGTCGTCATCAAGAGCCGATATCACACAAGATGGAAAAATTCTTTTCTCCCAATTGAGAACAATTTCAAGCTGTCTCGATCTCTTGAATACAACTTCTTTATGAAAATGCAGTCAACTAGAGCACGGTTTGAGAACAAACTAGTTTGACAAATTTTGTAGACAACAATTTTCCTTGATAACTTGGACCCAACAAAATATACGCAGAGTCACAAGATTTGAAATTTTTTATTTAATTATTATATATACATATGTGCGTGCGGCACACTACACATTATTCAAACAATCAAATAGTGAAAATGTCAAAATTCCAAACTCCCAAATGACAAGGAACTAATAACTACTTTTGTACACTCTATTGCACTGATACAATCATATTTATCCATGTCATTTATCCGTACTAGTAAATAAAAAAAAACAAGCACGGCTATGGAGGACCCTATGCTAATTAAACAAACTCGATATATTAAATAGTTTATAAAAATTAAATGGAATAACTCCATAAAGACATGTCAGCATATGCATCCACAACATCAGTGTCCATGCAGTAAGGTGGAGGTACCATCAACCCTTCAGCCATATCGTCAATCAATCCCGGCATGCCAAAAAGAGCCTCATCATCGGTAAAGAACACATTTTCCGACGATGTAGCTGTAGCTTCCTCTCTCGCACCCGACTCGGAGTTCGGTTGTTCAAATGCCTTGGCCGCTTCTGCTGCAGCTTTCTGAATGTCCTTAGCATCAGTGGAGGCCGGAACCGGTAGCTTCCAAGCTGAATCAGCAAAGTTTAAACATGCTGTCCGCCCGCGAAGCGCTATTGCTGCCACGTCGTGAGCTCTCGCGGCCATTTCCGCTGTGGCGAAAGTTCCCAGCCAAATTCTCGACTTCTTGTTGGGTTCTCTGACTTCGCACACCCACTTACCAGAGTTCCTCCGCCTTACTCCTCTATATACCGGGTGCCTCGTCTCGCGGAACTTCTTCCTCCCGGCACGCTTTTTGGGGTTGTTTGAAGCTAACAAAACTTCCTCATCAGATAAAGTGGCTCTGCTGACGCTAATGCCATTATCAGATAAAGATGAAGACTCTGGTACTTCAGTCAAGTACGAGGAATCTTGCACTCGAAAAACTGGGTCCGAGTAGAACTTGTTGAGATTATCCATTGATCTTGAAAAGCTGCTTATAACTGCTTTGATTAGATTTGTTTGTGTATGATTTCATCATTTCATGTATTTATTATGGGGTAAGCTATTTACGTTTTGGACGCGGAAAAGGCCAGCTGGGGCGGGCAGCCCACGGTTTATACTTTTTAACCTGACTAAGAAAAGTGGGATCTTGACAGGTGCCCAGCTAACTTGAGTGCGAGGTACAAGTTGTATAAGCGGATAAGCAGTCGACAAGTGTAATTGAGGGTAACGTGGAAGTTTTGACTTTTTGACTGACTGACGATTTGTTAGATTATCAAACAAAAAGACAAATGAATATTTAATGTAGGAACTACTTCAGAAAGTTCGTATTGAGGTGAGGAAACTGCGAAGTGAGTGTGGTGTTTCGATATCCGGATTACAAACAGAGCTTTTGAAGTGACATCTTGTGATTTGACCCGATTATAACACACGGGTTGACAGTTAATGACTAACAGGATCCGGAAGTTTTCCCACGGAAACGCGTGGACCACGTGCTAAATTCTAAGAAGTGGGGTGACTAATTCAAGAAAGGAATGATTTTCTTGATTCTTGCACGAAAGTGCTGGCCTTTGTTAAACTTTTAGTAAATTTTATGTTGATCACCGCACTTTATTTTATGCTACATTAATCTCAAAATTTAAACTTCATCGAGCGTTGGTCCCTACGCAATTGCAATTAGTTTGACTACCATATTTTTATTTTTTTACCACAATTAAACTCAAATGGTAAATAGTAAATATGCAATTCAACATATTCACATGTATTAATTGCAATAGTCTTGTAATGCATATTTAGTCGTACCATTATACATTAAAATTATATACATTTTTTTTTGTCTTTTCTTATTTACTTATTTGTTCGCGATAACCAAATGGTGACTTGAAGGTTTAATTGTACGAAGTCAAATTTTACTTCCTCTCATTAACCATTTATGGAATGAGACATTTTTACATAAGGGCTAGGTGACAATTTAACGCATCATTTAGGACCAATCGTGTATAAGATTGATGATCTGCTTCCTCACTATAATTAGAGTCATAGATTCCACTGTTTAGCGGGAACCTACTGTTTTCATTGTAAAAGGATTACTTACGTTTCACGTGAATCTTTTTTTATGATTGATACTTCATAAATGACTAGTTAGCAGGAGACTATGGTTTAGTCTCCATATATTGCATCCACATAAATTTTTCATAATTTATAAATTTCTGGCGTCTGGCTGTGGATAATATGTGTTATGCCGATGTATTTTTATTCATATTAGTATTGGCTATGTTCAGGGATGACCAAAAAAAACTTGTTAAACTCGATATTCGCAAGGTTCCACCTCGAATGGGACTAGGAGTACCCGCTTAATCGGGTATTTAGGTTGTGGACGAGCGGGTAAGGGTAACAAGAGCCCCGCCAAACCCCGTTTAGTTTTTTTTTAAAAAGAATTCAATAGGAAAATTCCACGAAATTCATTAGTTCTAATAGAAGATAACAATCAAGATTATTTAAGGAATATGACAAACAATAAAAACCTTAGTTTACCAAATATATTTCAATAATTTAACTTCTAAAAATAAGTAAAAAAATTTTAAATTTAATAAATATATTACTATCCCACTTTAATGAATGTGGATAATAAAATGAATTATCAAAAATTTAAAATTAAATGAGTAATAAATGGGGTAAGGGCCTCACCCCGGCCTGCCCCGTCTCGCCTTAAACGGGGGCAGGGAAGGTTGCCCCGACTTGCCCCTTTGTCATCCCTAGCTATATTGTGTTGCGAGATTCATGTTTTTATAGTTTAGTAAATATTTTGTTTTAATATTATCATAAGGAATTTACTCAATACATGTAAATCAAGTAGGTTATTAATTACTAAATAATATATAATTAGTGAAAATTACACAATTCCCTACTTTTCAAGATTTATATTCTAAAATCAGATCTGAACTTTTAATTTTCAAAAATCAGATATTTTTTAATTAGATATATTATAAATATAATTACCAAAACCTACCATAATATAATTATCCAAACCCTAATCGAAATATTTTCATCCTCTTCTCTTCTCTCACCGTGTTCTCTCACCTCATTCTCTTCTCTCCACACTCTTCTCTGTGTACAACCGCTGCTCCGACGGATCCATTCCGAAGACCTTGGCGCAGTACCGCCACAAGATGGAGAAGCTCCACACGATGATGCTAGGGATACTCCATGTTCTGATTTACAAGATTTCATCCTCCATGAAGGTTCGGATCTGCAGCGACGTTCTGGTACTGGATATGCCGCGATGTTCTAGTTCTGGTAATGTTGTTGTGGCGATGGCGGCATTTTGTGGATTTGGTGG